TGTGTGCCTTGGCCAGTCTCAGTGTCAGCCTTCCATCTGTGCACAAACTTATCTCGTGCCCTCATTGGTCATGTGCGCGTTCGTGTGTGTTGGAGGAGGGGCTCTGTTATGGGGGTTATTCCCTATCTTTATTCAAAAGCGTGGTATTTAAATTTGAGAGCATAATTTATTGATTTCTTTCCCTCAAACCCTGTCCTCACACTCAAATAGTGCTTGCTTGCGCTTAGATTTGCTCTTCTTGTGCTCAAACTGTACGCTTGCACTCAGATATATTGCTGCTTACAAAATCTGAGAGCAGACATTTCACGAGCGCACAGAAACAGCCTGAGTGCGAGGAGAAGGTTTTAAGCTGGAACACAGGAAATCTGTAAGCAGCAATATATCTGAGTGCAAGCGTACAGTTTGAGCAGAAGCAGAGCAAATCTAAGTCCAAGCAGGCACTATTTGAGTGTGAGGACAGGGTTTGAGGGAAAGAAATCTATATTATGAACGTGAAATCAATAAAGTATGCTCTCAAATTTAAAGACCACGCTCTTGAATAAAGATAGGGAATAACCTCCATAAGGAAGTGGCAGATTTTTTCCGGCTGTGTTTTTTCAAATTCTAGCGCACTCGAGTTGGTTTCTCCAAAATTAACTACCCCACCTTTAAGTGGTAAAAATGATAAATATATGAGAGGGAATATAGATATTTGCAATTTATAGTATTTGGAACATATATTTATCACTTGCTAGTAACATTTCTTTAAATAACTAACAAAGATAATGTGCCATATAAATCATAGGGATCTTATATCTTAGTGTGTACATAGGAATGTATATAGAATTCCTAAAACAGTGTTATTTTTTTGACATTTCCTAAAACATACCGTGTGCAAGTAATCTACATTACTTTAAATGATGCTGACTCTCTTTAACATATCAGATTACAAAAACTTTTCAATACAAAAGTGTGTGTCCCAAAGTGTGTCACAAAGAGAAAACACAGTTACATATGTTCCCTCCATATGATATCAATTTATTTTCTTCGACTTCTTCGCAATTAAAGGAATTATTTAGCTAATTATACCGTTTTTGGCACCCTCCTGTGTGCCTTTTATAATGTGAATCTAAGGAATAGCATATTGTAGACACACTCATTCACACACAAACACACACACACACACACACACACACACACACACACACACACACACACACACACACACACACACACACACACACACACACACACACACACACACTACTGCACACACAGGTGCCGGGCTGCTCCTTTGATGCCCCTCCTGCCAAGTGGTCCTGCTGCTTCCAAGCACCTGTCACCGTTGAGACGGCTGATTGCATCATCAGCACTCGCCAGAGGGGAACAGCGCGCTGAAAGAGAGAAACCATCTCTCCATCCTTTCATCTGCTTCCTTTAGCGATGGCTGATCCCCCTTTTCTTTTGTCCTCCTCGCCCCCCTCCGTCGCCTTTTAACTCCGCCTTTTATCTCCCCATCACCGCCATCCCCTTTCATCAAAAATCCTAAAAATGAAAGGAAAAAAATTTGACAGAAGTACTGTTTCAAATCTAGCTGCGAGTGTCACTCACGCCTGAGAGCACAAGATATTACCACGGCCTTCCCACTGACCTCAATCCAAATGTGAAGAGGCGTATCTGAATGCTGCTTTTATGATGGTCTCTTGCAGTGGGAGAAGAAGGAAATTCAGTCCCTTTTTCTGTCTAATAAGTCTATTGTGATCATGGTGAATGTGTGCTCCCGTTTAATGGGAAAGTCAGCCTGTACCAGAATTGCCATTATATTTCTCCTGTGATCATTCTGGGTCAATGAGTAGTTGTGAACATGTGTGCCTGAATCTCATGTAGTCTGTAGGTGGTGGAACTGCTCTGGTGATAATGGACCGCCTGGAAATGTAATTTAATAACAGTACAAGGACACTTTTGGTTGATGGGAGCAGAGATGAAGGGAACTAAATTACATATTAATGTTTTATACTGAATATTTGTTTAAATTCTCAAATGTTTCAACCTGTAGTTCAGAGAAGAGTCAACTGAGGTGGTCGAGACAGCGCCTGGAGACAGATGTGTGTGTGGCCAGTCACCAGGCTGCTGAACCAGAAGTCATCCAGAGCTATGTCAAGAGGGTGAGTTCATTATTTAGCATTCAATTTAAAAGTCTTTTTACTGTAATTACTAGGGAAGGTCAAATAGGATGTTTGCGCAACATGGTATTAACGATGAGGTAAACAGGTTAAAGGGCCTAACATCGCCACAATTACTTAGAGGAAAGGCCTTTTAGTGAAAACAGGTTTCGGGCAATAAATGCTTCCTTTTTAAAAGAAAAACTAATTTAGATTCACTTTTGTATGTGAACATACTAGGGATGCTGTTTCCCTCAATAGGTATTCCAAAACCTCAACTATGGCTATACCATATTCTCTAACTGCAATTGGAAACGTTTTTATAGTTATATGAGGCCAAATATATCTGTGGCACTAAAAATAGTTGCTGGCTAATGACCATTGAGTCAGCTTCATTTGGTCAAGAAACATTACTGTAGTTAGAAAACATGTAGGTAAGCAGAGAGACTTTATGAAGTCTGCTCCTCATCTCTGCCTGGGTCTAGTTTCTCAATGCTACATTAGCTGCTGCTGCTACAGCAGTACAACACACTGAGTTTCCACTTGTTGTGTAGTATAAGGTTGCAGGAATGTGTGAAGAACAGCCTCTCCTTGTAAACTGTTGTGAGTCTGACAATGTTCTTGGAGTACAATACTAAAGAAACAATGGTGAATAGTTAGTATATACTTTGTGTGACTATATGAACAAAATAAAGTTATGAGAGGTTGGGTGGTGCACACCATGACATGGATTTGATGTACTGATGTTGCCATGTTTGCAGGAAAGCAAAAAAAACCTTTGGAAGAAAACAATCTGTTTACACCCCGGCTCCCCCTTGGATTTGCTCTGTATTTGTTTTCCTGTGTGTCTCTCATGTTGTCGCAACACTGCTGCTGTGACAGTGGAGAAACATTATGGGGCTCAAAGGGCTACAGGCAACTGTCTGTAATTGCCTGTCTTTGCCATATGGTAGCCCTGTCTCTAACAAATAAATGGAGGAGGAAAATAACAGTGATTTCCTTTCCTTCTCATCTAAAAAAAATAAAATGGATCCCCACTAGTTGCATCTCATGTGACAATGCTCCATATCGTGTAACTAGGGAACAGAAGGAGGACCTTTTATAATGAATGGAAGGTCACAGAGCTATGGTTTACTATAATGAGACGTAACCCTAAGATACCCCGCCAACCACAGCGTCATCACTGGCATTTATCAGCTGTAAAACTCACTTTTGGTCTCCATGCTCATGAATTCGCCAACGGTCCCACAATGGGAAATGAAAATGTGCTCTATTGAATAGATTTGCATCTGAACACCCATAGAGCACAAAGGGAAACCTGATTGGATGGAAATGCACATCACTGAATATAATGTGATAGGCTCCGGCAGCGTGACATGAATAACCAATCGGATCACAAGCTGCCAGAGAGAGTTCTAGATAAGAAACCAGGAGCGGCACTGGGCAGGCAGAGTGACAGGCTGGTGTGAGTGTGTGTGTGTTCAGTTTTGAAATTCTATACTTCAATTTCTCAAGCCCTCGCCATCCCACCCACTCTCAATCTGTCTCGGGACGTACTCATCAGATAAAAACTGTGTGACTTTGTGTAATTGCGAGGGTGTCGGCTGGTAATGGAGAGACTGTTAATATATGTGATTGCGTGTGTATGGATGAGTGAAGTGTCAAGAGCAGTGGGGTAATGGGGGAAGATGTGTCTCGTTATTGTTTGGTAGTAGTTAGCAATTTGATTTCTCTCCCGTCGAGCCTGTCTAAAACTGTCAGCTCAAATATCAACTGACAATTAACCACCAGTGCTCCATGGGAGGGAGCGGCACAAACACTCACACACAACCCCCCCCCCACACACACACAGGCAAAGTACGCGTACACACACGGATGCGTTGAGATAATGAGGTCCCTTTGTCATTTGAATATTTGATCTTTGCAGATGATTAGCTAGGTTGTTATTCAGCTGAATATCTACTCTGCGTACGTCAGCCTTTGTTTGTGTGTAAATGAGGCTTTGTTTGTCTGACTATAGAAGAAGAGACAGAGCACATGTATCTGTGCTGCTTTGAAAGACGCCTTTTTATTTAATCGTTTATTTGGCAGGGACAATGCACAGTAATGAACACTTAAAACATTCAAATGTGTCAAGCGTAACAGTGCCAGATTTAGCTTTGAGCTCATTTCCATCCGCAGTCCCTCACATAAAACATTTAAGAAGTTTACATTTTACAAACATAGCAAAAACAAAATGCATGATATGCAAAAGAGCAAGAGCAGCATACACAAGTATTTTTATATTTCCACACCTCTAAATGTATTCTAGTGTGAGTTAATGTTGTGGTTATGCTAAACCCCTTACAGATCCAGGATGTAGCGGAGCAGGGGGTGATGTTTGTGGGCTTCCTCCAGCAGCCAGGCGGAGGACCCTGCTACTCAGGGAACTGGGACCCTGAGGATCTGTCCTCCTTACATTCAAGCCCCTCACCTATTCACCGACATCCCTTCAGCGCCAAAAACAGCCCAACAGATCCAACAGAACCACATCATAATGAGCCCGGGTTAGATCATGAAGGTGTAGAAAATCACACACAGGACGACGAGACAAGAGACGTCATGCCTCTGAAACCCATCCAGAGTTTAGAGCTCGACCAAGAGGAGGCCAGTGAGCAAATCTTCAACGAGTCACTAGAATCAAGGAACCAGCATCTCAGCGGTGTGGACACAGTTCTTAAGCGTTCAAATCAGAACCCAGCAGAAGCCCAGGTGAAGCCGCTGTGTCCCAGCCCTCCAGAAGCTGCAGGTATAATCAGACAGCAGGGAGGCCGTCTACCAGACCTCCAAGAGTCCACAGAGAAACATTTGGATCTTTCCAATCAGACAGACAGACAGAGCTCGAGCTCCTGCAGCTGGCCCAGCTCTCCTGAGCTGGATCGAGGCACGGAGAGAAAGTCCTCCCGCACAGAGGGGCAGAGCAGAGCGACGACGCACAACAACAACCATATCCGGATCAAGGGTTCAGAGAAAGATGAGAATGCAGCTACACCCCCAGCGCAGGGTAGTAAGTTACCAGCTTCCTGTTTGCAGTGAGGGAATGTCACTAAATAAGAACTAGAATACCTTTATACGTCCCTCAGAGGGGACATTTGCATTTGTTACAGCAGAAAAAAGCCCAAAACAGCTTAATATTACCCAAAAGCATGCATTAAGAATAAACACTCAAACACTTTTTGCATATATAATATTTCTATTTTAGGCCCCTTTTGAATTATATTCCACTTAATCTCAGCTGCACATAATGATACTTTTTACTCCACTATGACAATGATGTGATCATTTATATAACTTTGTAGATTTAGAATTATTACACATTTTGAAATCAACTAATAAATAAGGATTATTATTGGTGAGCTCGACCATCACCAGCTTCAACGTAAAAGTGATAAACACATAAATAAATATGTATTCTGAAATTGTAAATCCTGCAGTGCACAATGAGTACTTCTCAGAGTGTAACAGAGTATTTCTACACTGCAGTAATACTATTTTAGATCTTAGTACTTCTGCCACCACTACCTGTTTCTACTGGGGTTATTGAATAAAAAAGCCTCATTATGCAGAGTTCATTTTGGCTTTGTGTTTGTGTGCCTGTAGGGATGCAGCTCTTCGCCTTGTACAACCACACGGAGGAGTTGAACACTTCTCTGAGGTTCTACTCTCTCAGGGTGCCGCTGCAGGTGCAGAAGGAAGCAGGGCTGATCACAGATGTCGACACAAACTGGCTCGACCACATGACTCAGCATTTCACCAGCGGGGCGCACCTCATCGATGGGTTCTTCCAACTTGAAGACAATGACGGTATGGTTTGTGGCCATAGCAATTAACTACTGCATATGTCGTCCTTTTTGAAGGGCTGTCACTCTAGAGTGGTGGCTCTCAACTGGTGGGTCGCGGACCCGTTTCGAGTGGGTCGCGGATTTGTGAGTGAAGAAAAAAGAAATTGATTGATTTTCTTTTTTTTTGCGGAAAAAGTCAAACTTTTATTTTTGAAGGCCCGATTTTCTAACGCTGTTACATTCAGTAGGCGTTGGACTGGAAGTACCGGAGACCATAAACAGTTTAGAAAACTTCTGTTGTAGTGATCATCTTCTCAAAAAAACATCTTTGCTGATGTCGACCCCTCACCCACGAATTCAAGTAAACTCCTCACATAGACTCTTTCCTCTCTTAACTCTTCTCTCTGTGAGGAGCAGCAGGCTGTCCACGCACAAACGTGAAAAAACAAACAATGGCATAAAAATTATAGCCATATGTCGGGTAGTAATCAGATTTATGTTTTTTTNCTGAAGTGCTTTGACAAAAAATCCATAAAGAAATGTCATCTCTGGAAGCCGTAGCGCTGTAAAAAGCACGACCAATCATCTGAGCCGGCCCGGCTAAAAATTTTAGCCGGGCCGGCTCAGATGATTGGTCGTGCTTTTTACAGCGCTACGGCTTCCAGAGATGACATTTCTTTATGGATTTTTTGTCAAAGCACTTCAGATATTCATTGCTATCGGGATGTTAAGAGCATTCCATGGAATATAACAAAAAGTGTATCTCGAGCCGGTTTCTCAAACTTACCTACCCCACATATTGGCATGTTAGTATACTGACCTTTGCTATTTCGTTAAAATCAAAAGTGAAGCTGAGGTTTGGGGCCATTAAGTAGATGTATTGAGTCATATACCAAAATAATTGGGCAATTTGAAATGTTGAACAGATGATGGCACTAGATGAGAGAAGTTAAAGGTTTTAAAAGGTCATTCAAGTTTTTATAATTCATCCTGAGGGGAAAATGGATGTCTGTAGCACATTTTGTAACAATCCATCTGGAAGATGTCAAGATAGTTCACAGGATAAGTGAAAACTCTGACCTCCTGGAGGCACTAGATGAAAAGTCAGGGGATCACCAAAGTAATTAGGATTCATCCTGAGGGACACACGAATGTGGAAATCCATCCAATAGTTGTTGAGATTATTACGCCTGGACCCAAAAAATGTCCCAAAAATGCCATCCAAAGACGTTGCCATTGCCAAAGCCATTAGCAGGAAAAAAGATCCATCATTTTGGACTGAAATTGAAACATAGCTACAAGTCCACCAACAGAAACTCTGCATGAACGAATATAGATTTAGTTTTGAGCAAATCTGTCACTCACTTCCACGACGTGATGCAGAGAATAAAGCTCAGCTTGCATGCTGTACTAGAGCTGATAGCAGGGATGTATGAACATAATGCTCTGCTCAAATATGACGTGAATATTTATGTTTTCTCCAGAGAATAACTGGGTTATAGAAAGCAAACACAGGCGCACAGTACAGTATATTATCATGCATAGTCAAAAGAGAAAGAATTGGGACAAGGAGCTAAAGTTAGCCGGTTTTTGTGGCTGACTCATCTGCAATTAATTTTACATCAAGGGAACGAGGTGAGGCGCAGAATTGAGTTTGTGGTAATGGGTCTCAATTGGCTTCCATGTCAAAACAATGAAGTTCTACCGTTGTGTAAAGTGGCTGTAAATCATCTATCTTAATCAATTTGTGACAGAAATGCTGAAAAACAGTGTGTGTTTAGTTTGTGTACCTTGGCGTCTCTCGGACCAGCACGGCCCGGTGGAGCTGGCGCTGAATGTGTGCGCTACGAGGTCCGCAGGGATGGACAAACGGGTGGACGGCGACCAGGACAAAACCCTGAGCGTAGAGCTCCCTGACCTGAACAGGAAGCTCTCTGACGGAGGAGAGACAAAGCACCGATGACACCGGCACCTCTGGAGGGAGGAGAGGGGAGGGGAGAAAGAAGCATATGGTTAAGAAATGGACATGACAGGTTACAAAAGAGGCTGAGGGGAAATTGGTAGAGAGGAAGCGCTGGAACAAAGAGGAAAAAGGGAAGGAAAAAAAGAAAGGACAAAGGGTGTAAATAAACAGAGACAGGGCATGTTTCATTATGATAATTCCCCCTGAAGAACAACACATGGCATCTTCACGCTAAATCTGAAAGTAATTACACCAGAACTATTAGCCTTTGTCTCCACTGTCACCAACAGCCTGTTTATTGGGAAACAAACACACGGAGGCAAATGTGCAACGACAAAAATGCAATTTCTCATACTGGAAAATGCTCTTTTGAACACATTTACACCTACACAAACAGGCGGTGGAATATATTTTAAAAAAAAGGCACATACATCAAAAGGATGGCAATGCTATCACAGTGAGGTATTAGCAGCCATCGCTAACACAGAGCTGGTTCTCTTATTATCAAACACAATGGAGAGAAACCCCCTTCACTTCAGTGGAACATGGTTAGCAGAGCTTATCGTTTGGGAGCAAACTGTCACGGCAAAAATCCACGAGGGAGAGCGCGCTGTTTGCTAGAACCACCCTCTCAGGGTCAGTGCATTGTAGTTAAGCTCCCTCTCTGTTCACTGGCTTTTAAAAGGGAACACGTGCTTGTGTTGCTGTGTGTTTCTGTATCGCTGAGTGAAGCCAGGTGTGTGTTAGAGGGAGAGAGAGAAGCGTGGAAAATGAGATGAGAGAAGTGAAGAAAAGGGTGACACGGAAAAGGAGAAAGCAGTTAGCAGAGTCGTGTTGGAGAGAGAGAGAGAGATGAGGCTGTCTGTTTGTGCCTGAATGCTTGTCATCCTTTCCAATTCAATCTCATTTGCATGGGTCTGGAGAAGAGAAAATAACCTGAATAAATTAGCTAGACCCACACAAAACACACACACAAACACACACACCTTTTCAATTTGTTCTCCATCATGAGGCCTGTTCACACACACATAGGAGAGGCTGGCCAGCATGCGAGGACACAGAACACACACGCTCCTGACTTCTATCTCAGTTAAACAATGGGAGGCAAAACTCCCTGAGAAAATCCAACCATCACATCACACTTGGCATAACTGCTTGGAACCATGAAGGCCTTTCATCAAGCAAACACTTAAACGGGTGTGTGTGGGGACTTATCAAAAGCAGTACAGTGATGATGATAACAATAATAACAGCTGGAGACTGGGGTGGGGGGTGGGGTGGCGGGCGGATAACAACGATCCTGTCACCGTAAACAGTCATTAGCCGTCATTAGCCCTGCGCGGCTGGCACTCACCCACCGACGAGACGCGGGCAAGGCATCGCAGCTAATTTAGGCAACGCAAACAGAAGTTATGAGGGTGTTATTCAGCGCTGTAGGCTGGGAAACAAACTTCATTTATACTGTCTGCCACTGTGGGATTTAGAGGGGAGGCTGCAATTCCGCTCCAGAATGGGAACGGCTCAGGGCAGAAAAGCCGGGTGGAGCTTTATAGTGCCAGCAAGTGAGGGCAGGGGGGGGGTGTAGACGTGCACAAAAGAGTGTGCATGCATCTGGAGAGTAACCTGGAGATGTGTGATGGAGTGTTTGTGTGAGGTTGAGGGTCAGGGAAGAGAAGAAGTGGAAAAAAGTACGAGGATATACAGATCATAGAGCGTGGTATCGGCTTATTGTAGCCTACGTTTAATTTGATTTTTAAGCCCTTTTTAATAGCTCAAAAAGGGAAAAAATCCCATTACTGTGGTTAAAGTCAACAAACAAAACGACAGTATAGCCTATACCGTTGTTGAGTTTTATTGAATTTGATTAACTGAAAAGTAAGAGGTAAAAAGCGGACAAAATGTGTGTCTAACCCTGGAAATAATGGAGTCTTACTGCGACAGAAGTAATGTTAGGGTGACATCAGTACAGTTCAAATGTAGTGCCTTCTCTCATCAACTCCAGACACTTTAATATCATCATCACCCATACATGCATGTTTAAAAGGGAGATACAGACATTGTTTAATGGACTCAGGATGCATCAGAGCGGCTGTTCAGCTGTTGATCCCCTCTGCTCTATTTCAGTCCCCACCCGAAGCTTTGACCAAACGACAGCCGCCATGTGTCGTGTGCGACGCTTCACTTTTTGACCCTGGACTTCACAATCTGCATTTGGAGTGAGAGAGTCATCCCCCCTGCTGCTGCTTGAAAGGTCTTATTCATTCCTTGCACAAAATCCCTGAGTTTCAGTGTATGACTTTAAAGCAAACATATATCCTGTGGTGTTGTGTGTCCCGGTATCTCAGCGAGTGTGAGGACCATCTTTGCCTATGTGCGTGTGTGAATGGAAAGAATGAGTTTGCACTAAGCCTGCTAGGTGATGCATGGGGATTACTACTCACAGCTACCCTCAAGGCTTATCCCTCTGCTTGCTGGAGGTTCACGTTTATTTAAATAGCCTTCTAATGACTTGCAGAGGTTTTAGGCTAGGATATGTGCCAAAACAGTGACTATAAAACAATCAGCTTCCTGTAACCAGGAGCTCCCTACTGTTTTTGGGAATGCAGCCACAGACTAGGAGAGCTGTTGGTCAGCATCTAAACGTTGTCAAAATGGGGGGCGGTGGGCTGATCTCTTCAGAAGGCGCGCTTTACAGAAAACATCTGAACTCAATGTGTGGACAAGTTAGCCTACAGTAGAAGCAGGAGGAAAAAAAAGCAGGTTTGCTTTGGTGAGAACACAGCGTGGCCCTTTAAGGGCGGGCATAGATTACGTGTACCGTGTGATGCTGTGGAATCTCTCAGCCATCTTTTGACTGAAACTGCTAAAATGGCAGGAAAAGAGATTAAAGTCAGATCAACAATCTTTCAGAAAAAAATGCCGTGGAAAAGTGTGTCAGGTAGCAAAGATCTCGCAAACTGATGGAAGTGTGTTGCCGCGTCTGTCTGCTCTCTAAACCAAATACATCACACACGCATTCTGATAGCAAAGATGTACGCGTATGGCAGAGCGAACATATAGTCAGTCTTGGACAAGACGTGATATGTGCCAGAGAATTCACGTGTGTAATACAATGCATTCACTTCTTGACTTAATAGGCATCATCGTCTATCGAATATGATAGGACAGCCTCACATCATGCAGTGGCTGAGTCGACGTCAGCCACACGGTACAGTTAGCCAAGTGATGGATCTGACGCGCTCACCGTCACCAGAGATCTAAACCATATAACACCATACGCCGACTATGACAGTGTATATCTTCAGAGGCAGACCACTCACAGCAGAAATAAAGCTGCATACCAGTCCTGTAACAACACACTCTACTCACCGTTTATAACCTCTACGATGCGCACATCAGAACACATCGTACGCACGACCGCGCAAACATTACCACTATACACTACTAACATTGAACAGGATCAGCAGGCATGAGCACAGCACACCACCGGATACATTAGATAGGTCAAGATAGCTGAAGAGATACACATACACAGCACACACACATTTAGCCCACACACATTCACGCACCACGACTATCACAGACACTAGAGCACATGTGACACACACTCTACATAAGCATGAGCAGCAGACCATAGCGCTGCGCTGCCCGACTCACATCCTATACTTCTGTTTCATCCTACAGTCACAGCACACTGATACACGCGACACAACTCTACCATACATACGCAGTACGTGCTGAGCATTAGCCATCATATGTTAAGTTGTTTTCTGACTAGTGGTCTTCTCTCTCTCTGCATAGGTGCGCAGAAGTCATCATAAACAGCAGATGTTCAGCTCTCACTGTCTGCTACAGACGCCGGTGCGTTAGTGCACGCGGAGCTAGCTACACAGAGCCTCTCCACATAACTCTAACGTCGTCAAACGCCGGTCGCTCCTCGCATGATAGACAGGTTCTGATCTCGCCACTCCTTTGTGTCTCGTCTCGCCTCACAGATCTCGCCCCAACTCTCGACCTCTTCGCGAACTTTGCAGACTCACTCATTGCAACCGCTGCAGACTAGAGATATCTTCTCGTCCTCTTTTGATTGCGCGCACTTTTCCCCTTCTATGTTTTCACACATCGCTTCCACTCTCGCTCATACTCCAACACCTCTTGTGCGGCGGGCGCGCGCTTTCGCTGCCGTTTTCCGGTGTGCCGCTTTTCTACATTCTGTGATGTTGTCATTATCCGAGCGCAGCTTCGACACAAAGGAGGTTAAAGAGTACACCTGGCTGTTACTTTTCATACTCAAACATTCATGACGGCAAAGTTCAAGATGAGCAATCAATGTTAAAAAGGGGGTGATGGGTCCATCTTATTCCTAAATCAGGCAGCACATAACAATGAGCACCAATATGTAGCATTGTAACTCGAATATCATAAATTGGAGATCATTGTCACTATTGTAAAATAGTGTATATGGTTAGAATCAAAGGTGTCGAAGCTGCCCACAACATTGGCGTTGTTAAGTAATAGACAGCTCTGGTAGAGTAAGAGAAAAGCCAAATAAATGGTCCATGTGTGTAGAAGGCGCAGGCCCGGAACATTTTCCCCTCATCCTCCCGTCTTCCACCGCCAGGGGTCGCTCTGACCCAGTGATGATGCAAGGTTGGGCCGAAGTCACTAACACGAAATATATTTCAGCTAAAGACTCCGGCAGTAATAGCAAAGCTCATAAAATCAAAGAGC